AACGATGCCACAATTAAGTGTACTACAGCGCAGGTCCTGCAATTTGCAATTAAATACAGCTTTAACTTCTTTCTTCGAGCCTGGAACTTAGGTTGCATTTGTAATAAAATCGCTGGTTGCTGTCAGAGGAAATTACTCAATCTTCACCAGCCGCCATTTGACGATGCTCCTTTAAAGTGTCTCCACCACAGAAAATGATCTGATCACCAATCTTCCTCTATTGTAGGAGATTTATATTATATCATTTTTTATGGCATTATTACCCCAACCCTTTATTAAAAACCCACAGGTTTACAAATCTGATGATGCAATGCCGTTATTTTCATTTTAAAGAAACTTCTTAAACTTATCTTGAGCAAAATTATCTTGAGGAAAATGACAATTGAAGTCTCTGTTGGGATATATAAAAATTTATAACCCACAAGCTACAGTTCTCTTTTAATTTTGAAATCATGTATGTGTGAGTGTAGATCCATTTATATATAAATTTTACACATCATATTTACATAAAATTTTAATTATTTATCTCTTCACTTATAATAATTGAAATTTATTCATATTTATAAAAAAAAATAACTATTTTTTTATCTAAAAAAAATGATAAATCTCAATCGTTTGGTAGAAAAATGAATGATTCAGATTTTATATAAGTGTAATATATAAGATTTGTATTTAAGTGCATCCCTCCTATATATATAAGTTTTTTAATTTGTGCCCTTAAGGATGCCTTTTTGTCACAAATATATATAGAAAAATATAAAAACTAATATTAATTTTATTTTTGAGAGCAAGTGAATGAATTTAGTTGGATAGTTAATAAATCAAAGGTTAATTTTTACTTTTTTAATATAAATTTATGATAAAGATATATTTATTATACCCTTAATTTATATCTTAAAGATACAAGTTTAAAATTTAATTATTATACCTTTTGATATTAATTAGTATTAAAAAAATAAAAGTTGACATTTATTTAAGTAACAATTCAATTAAAATGATTTACCTGGCATTGGTGATAAAATTAATAATAGTTTTTGTACTTTTCAATACTAATTAATGTAAAAAAAAGAGCAAAAATTGTACCCTAACTTCTGTCCTAAAAACATGTATTAAAAAAACTTAATATATAGAGAGAGAAAGGATTCAATTATACAAAAATTTTATATATTATACTTATATA